TTTGTTACGTCTGGGTGCGTGCAGGCAGGCGCGGGCGTGGGCACGGCGAGACCCCGCGCGGTCGTGGCTGCTCGGTCTAACACGCTAGTGCAACCTATGGCGCAGATCCCGCCGACAGGGCTTCGCTTGCAAGGGCCGCGGAGCGGGTGGAGAGACAGAGGAGGAGGAGGAGGATGAGGAGGAGAAGGAAGAGGAGGAGGAGGAGGAGGAGGAGGAGGAGGAGGAGGAGGAGGTAGAGAAGCACCCTCTGGGAACGGTGGAGGAAGCAGCGCAAACTCGCTCGCGGCCAGCGTGTAATCAGAGTTCGAGTTTCACCTGAGTTCGAGGCCAGAGTGTAACCAGAGTTAGACTTTGAGCAAAGTTTGAGGCCAGAATGCGATCAGAGCTTCGCACCAGAGTTTCATCCGAGTTTTGGGAGCCCGGGGCAAATGTCGAGTTCGCCTATGAATGCGAGCATAAGGCCTGGGGGACAGGCAACTCGAAAAACACTAGTCGTTGGACGTCTGACGAGAAGGTATGGGCGGAAGGGCTGGAGCGAAGAGAACCAAGAAACCGATGATCCGGATATACTGGTTCTTTTGGTATTTTGGGCGCTTGTAGAGGTCTCCAGATGCCATCTCCAGCTTCTTCTGGAGGACGTCCGTGGACGTCCGAGGGAAGAGGGAGGAGAGAAGGAAGAGGAAAGGGGGATGTCGCTCGGCGTCCCCTGAGCCCCGCCCAAGGGCCCCCCCCTCGAAAAAAACGCCAGCGTGAAAATTACAAGCGGGGCCCTCGACCCCACCTTGAGATGTCTTCCCCAGCTTGGTTTGATGGGCCTGTCTTCCACCACCACCACAAGTTGGAGGGGGGAAGGAGGAGGAGGAGGAGGAGGAGGAGGAGGAGGAGGAGGAGGAGGAGGAGATAGAAGAGGGGGAGGGGGCCCATCAGGAAAGGCTCGACTTCAGCATTATCGCCGTCCCCCTCCGTCCCGCAGCTCCGCTGCAGAGGGCGGCTGCCTCGCTCTTCGCAATGATGCACCACACGGCCGCGGCGCGCGGGAGGATGTGGCTATTCTGGGCATGGGCGGTGCGGCCACGCCGGTCGCCGCCTTTCGACCACTGTCATCATCACAACCAACCTTATCACCATGACCACCATCACCACGTCATCATGATCGTATCATATCATGACCGTCCTCGCCTCCCTTGCCAGCCTCACAGTCAGCAGCAGCATGTACCATCGCGAACAAAACACAAGGCCCCCAGACTCACACAATCTGCATCACGCTGCAATCAGCTGTCTGCACTTCGCGAAGCTAAAACGACATCAACATGATTGCTCTGAGGCCCGCGCGGCTTTCTTGGATCGGCGCTGATGCCCCCCTCCCTGGCGCGGGGAGCGTGCCAGGGGCGGCGCCGGAGGCGCCGCCTGGGGGGCCCCACGCCAATCCAAGAGATCCAAAACATGTTTAGAACATTTTCTGTTCTCTGATACTTGTCATCACTACCTCAACAGAACTGTCAGCGTGAGGTCGAACGGTCTTGCATCATCCCTGGGTGCGTTGGTGAAGTAGGATTATGTGGCGCAGATTCTGCTTGAATTTTCAGTTCTCAAGAATGGTTATTGTTGATCCCTCCCTCTGGTGCCAATTATGTTTTTCAAATGAAGTGCCCCTCCGAGGGCTCGAACCCTTTTTTCACACGGGGAACTCTCGAGGCTCAGATGATGCTGATCCCCAGCTTCCAGCAACAACCAGCAACAACAACAGGAACAACAACAGCAACGACAATAGCAACAACAACAACAACAACAACCACTACAACACCAACAACAATCAAATTAAAACTGTCCGCTCTTTATCTGTTCGCGTGCCATTCGATACGTATATCTCAGCCCTCGATACCTGCCCCCTCGCCTTCGATCGTGCCGCCTTGGGGGTCTAACTTTCTTACCCACAACGTGTATTATGTGCAGCCCCGAAGGTAGGGGAACAGAGGACGGATGGAAGGAAGGGACAAGAGGGAGGGGGGAGGATGGAACACGAGAGAGAGAGAGAGACAGTATCATGAGGGGGGCTATGCGCAGAAAGCAAGTGGCAGAACCAAATGGGCAGATCTGGCGGGTCGGGAAGGCGGGCCCAGGCGGCCAGGTCGAGCAGGCGGGTTGCTGAAGCGTGCGTCCTACATGAATCGCAAGATAATCGTCAAGAAATCCAAAACGAGAGCGTGAGTCCTGAGTGTCGAGGGCGCTGTGTCTGAACAAATCCGCAGGAAGTCCCACGCGAGAGCACGAATCCTATATAACGTGTGAGGAAGTCCAGCGCGAAAGCGCGATTTGGGAATACATTGTGAAGAAGTATCCGGCGAGAGCCGCTGTTGTTGTAAACTGGGGGCCAGGGGCTCAATTTGGTGACACCTCCCTCTCCTTGTGAAGAAACAGGGTACGAGCCCCGGAGGACGCGCTTCAATTGACAAAAAAAACATGGCTACCGGGAAGAGGGGATGAAACATAGTTTTTTCCGAATACACAATTCAACGGGTCCCGCCGGATTCGCAATTTCTTCAAAATCGCTCTCTCGCGCGGGACTTCCTTACAATGTATGCAGGAATCGCGCTCTCGCGTGGCATTTCTTCGCAAGTTATTGAGACGCTGCACTGTTAACACTCAGGAATCACGATTTACTTGGGAGTCGCGCCATCGCTAAAGACTTCCTCGCGATCCATGCCGAACTGCTGCTTCAACGCCCCCTCCTGCTAACCTCTGTCGTGCTCCATCCGTGTTCGCTCCGGTTGTCCCTTCACTCCTCCCTTCCCCTGTTTTGGAGCTGCGCCAACTACACGTGGCGGGCCAGGATGATGTACCCGGATGGGGGTTTCTGATCGAAGACGAAACGGGCGGGTATCGAGGGTTCGGGGCATACATGTTAAACGACAATCGAGCAGGTAGTAACGACATGTCTTAACATGATTGTTGGTTGTTGTTGTTGTTGGCAGTGTTGGTGATGGTGTTGTTGTTGCTGTTGCTGTTGCTGATTTTATTATTGTTGGTGTTGGTGTTGGTGTTGGTGTTGTTGTTGAACTCTCTCACTACTGAAGAACAATTTGTGTTGATCGGTAACATCCGTGTTTTTCAATTGGAGCGCCCCTTCTTTATCAAGGTAAATCTTCATCGTCGAACTGAGCCCCTGGCCCCCGGTTTTCAACAACACAACAGCGGCTCCCGCCGGAGACTTCCCCGCAATTCACTGAAGAGTCGCGCTCTCGCTAGGGACCTCCTTGCAGTTTATCCAGGGATCGCGCTCTCGCCTGTGACTTCCTCCCACTTATTCAGGCGCCACGCCCTCGCCATTCAGGAATCGCGCTCTGGCCTGGGACTTCTTGACAATTTACTTCGGAATCGCGCTCTCGCCCGAGACTTCTCGCCAAATTATGCAGGACCCACGCATTTGCGTACCACATGCGTTTTTCAATTGAAGTGCCCCTCCTGGGGCTCGCTGTGCTTTTACAAAGGAAAATATTCCTGTTCAAACTGTGTCCCTGGCCCCCGGTTTACAACAACAGCGGCTCCCGCCCGATGGTTCCTTACAAATGATTGAAGAATCGCGCTCTCGCTTTGGACTTCATTGCAATCTCGCCTGATACTCCTTCGCGATCTATTTAGGCGTCGCGTCGTCCGCACTCAGGAATCGCGCTGTCGTTCGGGACCTCCTTGCAATTAATTCAGGCGCCGCGCCCTCGACACTCAAGAATCACGCTCTCGCTTTGGATTCCCTGACGAGATTAATTTTAGAATCGCGCTGTCGCTCAAGGCTTCCTCGCGATTCGTGCACGACGCACGTTTCAACAATCCGCCTGCTTGACCTGGCCGCCTGGGCCCGCCTGTTAGGGTCTACCCGCCCGATCTGCCCGTCGTATTCTGCCACGTGTTTCCCTCTCCCAGCCCCTCCTCCTGCTCCTCTCTCTCTCTCTCTCTCTCGTGTCCCATCCTCCTCCCTCACCCTTGTCCCGTCCTTTCATCCGTCCTCTCGTCCCCTGCCTTAGGTGCTGCACGAAATACACGTTGCAGGTAAGAAAAACAACCCCCAAAAAGGATACGATCGAAGACGACGCGGGTGGGTATCGAGGGTTTTAGATATACGTGTCGAAAAGCTCGCAAACAGATAAGAGCGAACAGTATTACAATGAGGTTTTTTGTTGTCGTCGTAATTGTTGCTGCTGCTGTTGCTGCTGTTGCTATTGATGCTGCTGCTCTTGTTGTTATTGTACTCCCACTTCCAATTCAAAAGGATGTTTTCGATATACGTGTTGAATGGCACGCGAGCAGATAAGTGCGAATTGTCTTAAACTGAATGTTGTTGTTGTCGTTGTACTTGTTGTTGTTGCTGCTGCTCTTGTTGTTCTTGAGCTCCCATCTCTAATTTAAGAAATAGTGTTGCTCCCTCCCTCCGGTAACCATTGTACCTTCCAAATCAAGTGGCACCCCTGGGGCTCGCAGCCTGTTTGTTGAACACGGGAAGGCGATGTGTCTCTAAACCGGGCCCCTGGTCCCCGAAAAAACACAGCAACGGCTCCCGCCGGATGCTTCTTCACGGCGTATCGACAATCGCGCTCTCGCGCAGGACCTCTTCACAATTTGTGCAGGAATCGAACTCTCGCGAGGGAACTTCCTCGCAATGTATTCAGACGCCGCGCCCTCGAGACTCAAGAATCAAGCTCTCGCTTTGCAATTCCTGCCATGTATTTGGGAATCGCGCTGTCGCTCGAGATTTCCCTCGATCCATGCAGGACGCACGCTTCAGCAACCCACCTGCTCGACGGCCGCCTGGGCCCGCCTTGCCGACCCGCCCGCTGGGGTCTGCCCGCCCGATCTGCCCGCTTGGTTTTGCCACGTGTCTTCTGCTCTTAGCCCCCTCCTGCTACTCCCTCGCGTGCTCCAGCCTCCTCCCTCCCTTTGTCCCTTCCTTCCATCCTTTCTCTGCTCCCTGGCCGTAGGGGGGGGGGGGCTGCACGAACTACACGTTG